TAGTAACTTATAAGTAGGAACTATAATATTACCGTATTATTATGAGTGATAAGTATTTTCAAAGTTTCGATTCAAACGTAAAATAATTGTTTTACATGAACACGTCATGGGCAAGTAGTTAACACAATATCGGTAACGATGATAATAGTATCGTTTTCACACACCTGAAAAAGTTTGAGGTTTATAAAAACTATATAGGTACGTGGAAAAAAAACTTGCACTGAATCGTGAAACTGGTACTAGTTCACGTGTAAATTGTTACGTATGGTAATGTGTGGTGCATTATTGAAACGAATATCGTATCGGAAAAAAAACAATTCGATAACACATTAACTAAACATAGTAATATAAAGTGCGATATAATAATTTATTATTAATTAATATACACCAATTAATTTGATCGCGATCCGTTTAGTTTTACTTTATTGGTTAGCAGCCCATGTGATACAAGATTCTGCAGGTTTTATAGACGTCGTTTTCAAATTAAAACTACCCTACTATATTTTTTTACGGCCGTGTAGCAAATTAATGAAAGAGATTATACAGACCCGGCCCGAGGTTTATGGCCGACACTGTAACCTACATTAAAAACACACAATAAGTTTAAAAAAAAAATAACCGTACTAAAACTGAACACAGCAGTTTTACAAATCCTGTTTTTATTGCAACTCGTATAAATATGATTCTTCCGAGTACTCGGGTGGACTGAATTAGAGAAAATATAAAACCACTACTGTGTGGCATCGACGTATRCACGGGCACTTAAAAACCGTATAACATGACCGTATAGTGACAATGATGATATCGACGGAATTATATTATTATTATTATGTGCTCACCCGGAGACCGTTAGTAATAATAATAATATATTAATGGACACAAGTACGACGTGCTCTGTTCGGATGTCGGCGATTAACCGCCGACGACCGGATGATATAATTTATTCTCCGAGTGCGCCTGTGAATCCGTCGATACACATTATAATMATAACACTAATATTTGCGATACAATATCAAATCTACAGTTTTTATTATTATTATTATTTAAAATATATATAGCAGCACAGTCATAATAATAATATACAGTGTGATATAAATGATCGCAATTATTATGCACTCGTGGAGCCAACATTACAGAAATTTGCTTTACAAAACACGCTAGTATCGTGCACAATCATAATATTATATAGTGAAACTCTTCCTGCGCATAACGAACTTTGACTTTTTTTTTACATTTATTAATAAACATACAATCCGTATTTATTATTTTACAATAAACGTATATGACGAAGATAACATGAAGACTGCAGGATATAAGGAGTCACTCAACTAATCAATGATAGGAGTTTGTTGTTTTTAGAGCGTTTTTAAGAGAGCATGAGATTGAATACGAACGAGAGGAAGGAAAGTACAATCGTTTTAAGCGAGTACGTTTAAGTCACCTACTGGGGTCACCAAAAATGGCGTTGGTGGATGGTTCGGAAATCGAGGGATTGTGATGGTTGTGAAATTTGAAATGAAAGCGTTTGTACGTTGATTTTTGCAATATTTTGTACAGTTGGAATGGCTAGCTAGATCTAACGAAATTTTATGTTTAACAAATTATTTTTGAAAACCACGTGACCTCCATTGTTACGTATGCAATCTATTTAACAAATTCCTCTATGTTACGAGTTTTTTTTTTTGCTCCCTATGCAACTTCGTTGTATGGAAATTTCACTAAGATAATATTATAATAAATTGTAGCTCACAACCCTTGCCTTGCAAACGTTTTTTTTTTCACTAAAAAATCGGACGAGTGGACGACCCTGTATGCAATATCTGCTGCACCATCATCATGTTATGCTTCGCTGTTTAACATAACAGCGCGTAATGTATCCATATATTAATATGCGATGCGCGCGGATTTTTTTTTTTATCACGTCGCACGCCACAAACACTGCAGAGCTTTCTTCGGCACCACTATAGATATTAATAATATAATCTCCCATCCTGCAGTACGAGCCCGCRAAACCACAATAATAATATAATGTAGTGAACGCATCATGGTCGATGGAATAGTGGCGTCTGACTTGGCATATTTTTCGAACTGCATAACCACTATGATGTTTCGTTTTGGATATACGTCCCATAGTTGTTGCAGGGATATATTAATAATAGTCGACCAACTCTTCTGTGCAGTTGCCGAGGTAATATAGGTAGGTACACGTAATACATTTTCGGGCTTTTGTTTCCCTAAGTTTTCTGAAATCTTTTACTCCTTCCAAACCATCATTTTGCTGTTTTGTCAGCAGAATGTGATGYATAAACGATGTAAATATTAATATGAGTAATAACATAATAGGTACCTATGTACACGTAAAAATATGTTCATRYKMTATGGTATTTAGGTACTATATATTTCAATGAATAAGTAAACGAATACAACTACTACATACATAATACATCTAGTAATCGCGCATATTAATACAAAGTACTCGTAGTATTTACGCGGCACGTCATTTGATAATAATGATATATATATATATTGCAGGATTATTCCTAAATTAATTTTTCAATAACAATACGCAGTCAGCTTTAACAATACTCCCGATGGAATATTTACAAAAGCCACGACGATAAAACATTAAAAATATTTGTAATTTTAAATACATTTGCAGGTTCGGTGCATAATTTTTAATGACGTGTTTTTATTTAAGAATAACAATACAATATGACAACTTCRTGAGAAATGAGAATCCGTAAAAATATAAAGTTGTGAAAACAATAGGAAATGCGCATCCGCGTACGCGTAAATATTTGTTTTTTTTTTAGTAAAAACTTTCTCTGGACTTTCTGCAATAAAGTTTTTCCAAGCATCAGTTAAATAAAATGTTATTCGAGTGTCTTTTTAAGGTTTTATTAACCTAGAGGTTTCCAGCCTCTGCACATAATTATTTTTTCTGTCTTTATCCATTGCAACATTCCTTCGAAGTACTCTCCAAAATTGTTATTCTTCCAAACCTTTGTTATTATTTCACATTATTTCACATTATTTTCTCATTCCGTCCACTTAGCTTTTCTAACAATATACTACTCTGTAACGTTTCTTTCATATTTTTTTCATTGTACATGCAAACGTATACATTCATACAGCTATAAGAACGTATAATTATGTTCTATTTAACTATTTCTTTTTCAGCGTGTAACAACGTAAAACCGTTTTAAAATTCAGACATGTTGTATTTCATTGTTAAAGCGTATTCTGTTTTGTATGTAAATTTTATCTGAGCCATTAATTATTATTAATGTTTAAATGTGTTCATATTATTAAACTATTATATTTTACTCGTGAGCATCAATATTTTTAAAGTTGTGTAACATCTACCCCTTTGTTCATATATATATATGATATATTATTTATAATTCATATTTCAAATTTCAACCTACTCGGTTAATAATAGAAATACCTTCAATAATACGACTCATACAGTTTATATGTGCCTAATGATTAAAAATAATATTTAATGCACGTATACTTTACTCGGGACTCTTAAAAATTTGATATTGTGCCACGAAAAATAATTTTATCYACATTGAAATTAGTTACATCGAAAACGTAGGTAATAGATTTTAATTGTATGTAAATCAAGTGTCGTTTTTAAAATCTTAAGTGCCATAGCTATCCTCAATCTGTGAAAAAGTACTTAGAATAATAAAAGTTTATTAAGATTATTTTTTTTATTTTTTTTATTATTACCACGAGTCTTATTATTATTACCCGGCTGCAGATTTTTTTTTTGTTTTTAATTATTCATAATCCCGGGAGATGAAATGAACTTTTGGTTCGGCCGACAAAAACCACAGCCTATGGATATTACCATCATACTATTATAATAGATTCAATTATTTTTCCATTTTGGCTACCCCATCTCTTCTAATAGAAACATATTTTTTACGTATCACGTAAAACATCTATAGAGTGTAACTATAGCGATATGATTTTTTTTTTGTAAATTTCCTAACATGGAGTTATTGCGTTTAATTAATTCGTGCTAATTAACTTCAATAAGTAATTCCAAATTTCAATAGTAAGTAACATAAGCATTGTTGTTGTTGTTGTATAACTCTGATAATATTATATAATTTAACAAAATTTAATCTACATATTATTACAAAATACCTAATAGAAATTTAGTTTAGTTATGTTGGATATTTGAAACTCGGCTGTACTTACAGCAGAAACTAAGTAAATGGTATCTTACGTTTTAATTTTTAATTAATAGATTCTTCATCATTGTCAAAATGACAATCATAAAACTTGATTGCTATAATTACGC